TGGAGACTCCTGTGCTATACTTTAGAATCACAGAATTTCCTCTGATTTTTAACTAGAATCCTGAGATGCACCAACTAGTACCTGGTGCAAAAGATTTATAATCTGAATTCATGAATTTGGGGTCAGATCTGAATACTAAACTACAGAGCACTCATTCCTTGACCTCTTCAGATCACTCCAATTTTTTTATTGAAGTCAATAGGTGATTTTAGTGGAGGCAAACCATGTTGTTTCTGTTGAATGCAAACCCTTCAAAGATCCACTATTTCCACATGCCAGATGAGTTGGAAATAATTGTGCAGTCCTTCTAGTACAACTCTTGTTATTATGAGAAGCTATTGATCCATCTGTAATAAACAACTTTATTTGAAAACTTCCAACCAGGAAATCGACCACTGTTTTAGACAGACCTCTCCACTATTTAACAGCTCTTGTGGTTAAGAAATTCCTCCTAACATACTCAAAAGTGATTTACATGTCATTTAACTGCTTGGTCTACTTCTGCTCACCTTGTTCTAGTGTCGAAACAGGATTGTTTTAACCAAATTCAGGAAATGATTTTAGCAAATGAAAAAACAAAAAACCACTGACTGGTTCCATTTGCGGTACTATCAGTCCAATGTAATTATTATTTGGAACAAGGTGGCAATGCAAAACAAGCTAATTATTGTAGTAGTAATTAGGTTTCATCCTTGTTGTTGGCTCCAATTCCTGGAGTGATTTGGCAAAGAAAAGTGTTTTTCAGGTTGTAATTTGTCTAAGTTTGTTCTCAATTTTGTCTGCTCACTACTGTTTATAGTTATTTGGATATTATTATTATTATTATTATTATTATTATTATTATTATTATTATTATTATTATTATTATTATTAACACAAAAATGTGAAATCACAGCTGCCAGAGCTTTAGCCAGGGTTAGCCTTCAAATGAATCAAGTTCTTCCGAAGAACCTAAAATATCATAAGGTATTGATGTAGTACAAGTGCAAATCTGAGCAGTATTGCCTTTGTTATTGACAGATGAAATTTTTGTCAATACACCAGGTTTTCTAAGTGCTGTACAAGATATTTTGATATAAGGCAATCCAGAGTGCCTATAACCACTGTGATCAACATGGCTGGTTTTTGTCATAATTTTTCGATTTCTATTTTCAGATCTTGATACTTGTCAATCTTTTCCAATAATTTGTGTTCTATTTTGTTAACTTCTAGTATTGCCACATCAGTTATTGTCTCTTTCTTTTTTTCAATCACAGTTAAATCTGGTGTTATGAACTAAGACTTTATCTGTTTGTATTCAGAAATCCCACAATATTTTAACCTGTTGATTTTCAACTACTTTTTCAACTCTACGCCCTACCATTTTTTCATTATTAGTACATTATTAGTACATGATAATTTTGCAGATTTTGCAATGAATCATTTTGGCAACTGTGTTATGTTGTTCATAATCAGTTTATGCAATATTTTTTCACAAACTGAGTATATGATCTACGGTTTATTATGCCTCTTTATATAATTGCACTTTGAATCATTTGACAATTTTTCAGTTCTGGACTTGATTGCATTAGTTTGAATAGCTTGCTCTTCAGCAGCCAAAATCAAGCCTTCAGTTTCTTTTTTTAATGTTTCAGTTATAAGCCATTGCCAGCTTTTACCTTTATCCACTTCCAACTCAATCTTTTAGAGCAGGGGTCAGTAATCCGTGACTCTGGAGCTGCATGTGGCTCTTTCATCCCTCTGTTGCAGCTCCCTGTTGCTGGTCAGCACCACAATTTTGAGAGGAGCTTCTGGTTAGTGGGGAGGGAAGCATGGCATGCCAGAAGACTCTATGGCAAAGGACAGGTTTTCCGGTCAGCTCCACAATTGATAGGGCTTTTGGTTATGACAGGTAGAGGAAAAAGGACCCCGTATTAGGAGGAGACTTTATGGTGGGGGAACTGGACTTCCGGTCGGCTCCAGAATTGAACAGGGGACTTTCAGTTAGGACCTCTGTGGTTCTTTGAGGGTTTAAAGTTGCTGACCTGTTTTAGAGAAATTGACCATATGATGCTTTTCCTTGCCAGCATTCTGTTCTTGTTTCTAATGCATTATTTCAATATTCATGTTTTGTTTCCTGTACATTCAGTAAGTTCCAATATTTAATTTACAACAATGCTTGTTCTCACCTTTTAGATAATCAGCCAATTCATCCTATTCTTCTTCAACAATTTGTTTGACTTGGAAGTAAATCTCTGCCTCCATTTCTGCAGGGCAGGTATAGTAAATATATCAATATCACTATGGGGAAGTAATATAGACTGAATAGTTACTTTCTTCTTTTTCAGTCTAAGTTGTACAGTCCAGCTGTGTCCTGTTAATAATTTCAGCAGTCTATCATATTGACTGATGGGATTTTGCAGTGGTGAAATCCAATTTTTTTTACTACCACTTCTGTGGGTGTGGCTTGGTGGGCGTGGCAGGGGAAGGATACTGCAAAATCTCCATTCCCACCCCACTCCAGGGGAAGGTTACTGCAAAATCTTCATTCCCTCCCCATTCCTGGGGGAAGGATATTGCAAAATCTCCATTTCCACTCAACTCTGGGGCCAGCCAGAGGTGATATTTGCCATTCTCTGAACTATTCAAAATTTCCGCTACCGGTTCTCCGAACTGCTCAAAATTTCTGCTACTGTTTCTCCAGAACCTGTCAGAACCTGCTGGATTTCACCCTTGGGATTTTGTCAATTCCCCTGGTGCGCAAATGGTGCTCCAGGTATTATGTGTTAGATTTACAATTAGATTTACAGTCTAAGATGGATGGAAACTTAATAATTAACATTTTAACCAAGGATCTAAGAATCATTGAGTTATTCTAAGCAGGATGTGTTTTTGGAAAATTAGGGTGTTCAGGAAAATTCATTATCTTCACATTTTAAGGAAGTTTTAGCTATTGCTCTGAGGATGCCAATCATGTTTGGTATATCAAGAGATTCCTGCCTCCATGAGTGTTCCACTTTGATCTGCAATTCCAGATATTTTGTAATTTTCTCTAATTGTTTTTCCTCAATCCTAGCATTACCCAGAACAGCAGAATCAATGGACTTTCTTGTTTTCAATAACTATTATATTAGGAATAATGAGATGCCTTTCTGTTTGGATCTTAACCCACTTAGATCTTAACCCACTTATTTTTCAAAACCTTCTGAACTTGGTCCCCGTAGTTTTTCCTGCATTCAAATAAAAATCTCTGGCAAAGTTTCCAATGAATAATTCTGGCAACTCAGTTATTATAATTATGTGTGGGTAAACTATAGTTAGATTCACTGTGTTATTTTTGGATCACAAGAGAGTAGCATGCCTCTAGATAAATCTACTGTTATTTCGCTATTTTTGTTTTAAGTTGTACAAAATAGTGTTTTCTATAACTTTTTAAAGGATTGGGTTTTTATAGTACTGCTTCTTTTTCAGGCCTAGTATGGCAAATTGAAATAGATTTTATTGCTTTTCTTAATCTATATTGATGGTGGAAATGCTTACACTTTGCATATTTTTTTTTACATAAGCTGCCACTGTTTTTTCCTATCACAGTTTTACTAATTGCTTTTTGAAAAGCTAAATAAAGGTTTTATTTTGCTTTTTAAATAGAACAAAGATAAAAGAAGATGGGGTGAAGCTTATACATGTTTTCCGTCATGTTCAAAAATAAAAACCGGTGCTCGGAGAATTCAATAAAAATACAATAAGAATAGAGTAGAATGGAATGGAATGGAATAGGAATAGGAATAGGAGTAGGGTAGGGTAGGGTAGGGTTGACCAGAGCAGAGCAGGAAGGAACCTTGGAGGTTTTCTAGTCCAGCCTCCTGCTGAAGCAGGAGAACCTGTACTATTTCAGATAAGTGGCTGTCTAGTTTCTTCTTAAAAATCTCCAGTAATGGAGCATCCACGATTTCTGAAGGCAAGCTATTCTACTGGTTGTCCTGTTAGGAAGTTTCTCCTTAATTCCAGGTTGCTTCTCTCTGGTTAGTTTCCAACCAAACTTGTTTCTTGTCGTGCCCTCGGGTGCTTTGTAAAATAATTTGACCCCCGTCTTCTTTGTGACAGCCCCTCAAATACTGGAATACTGCTATCATGTTGCTCCTAATTCTTCTTTTCTTTAGACTAGGCAAGTCCAAATCCTGCATTTATGTTTTAGTCTCCAGGCCTTTGATCATCTTAGTTGCTCTTCTCTGATCTTTTTTTTTGAACTACTTATTGGGTTTTACTTTGTCAGATGTAGGATTTTATACTTGGAATATACTTTCAGCAGATTTTCAACTTCTGAGACTAGCCTATAGTCCTGGCTTTGGTTTTCCATTCAAATATTAACCAGTTTTAACTGTTCCTATCTTTTAAGGTATCTTAGGGTAGAAATATGCATCTGAGTGGTGCGGCCACCTAGAGGTGAAGATGCTCACCTCCTACTCAGAATGTTGAGAGTTCAATTCTCGGCAGCAATAGATGTTGCTCTATCATGGTGCAAAGAGAAAATATCTGCTGTGAACTCCATGTAGGCGTCAGGAAGGGCATCCTGCTGGTAAATGCTCAATTCCATTCAATTGCACCGACTCCACCCCAATAAAAAGAGATTACAGAGTAGTAAAATAAAGAAAAAAGATAGAAATATGCATTATAAAGAACATCTCCTTCTGATCCACATGTTTTTCTTCTTGGGAATTCTCAGAGATATAATCCAAAATAGTCAGAAGGTATCACATTGGAGAAGAACTTCTAGTTCATTGAATTAGAAATGGACACATCAAAAGAATGGATCAAGTTGAAGAATATGCTATAAGGAAACAGGATACCCTGCCTTGAATTATCTTTAGGAATAAATTTTGCATTATTACTACAAACTACATAGGGAAAGAATAAGTAACAAGAGCATATATCAAAGTGGAAAAAATGAGCCAGTCTTTTCCCTCTATTAATATAACAGCAGAACTACTGAATACTAAGGAAACACACATTTACCATACATGCAGTGTTATGTTTTGCTTTTATTTAAAAAAATAGTAAATGTAATAAGAACACTGACCAGAAAGTTATTAAAAGCTTCATAGCAAAATATTGAGTCAACTCTGTTACAATATTTAGGCTTAAAATTCTAATAAGTTAACACTATGCCTCAATTCACTGGGCAAGTAATGTTTTTGTCACAAAAAAAAGTTTATTATTAGAATACAGAGCTGGACAATCATAGAAAAAATATCTTTCATCGTCAGTTAAAGTACAACATTTGACATATAACTATTTTGGGAGAAGCTATTAAATCAGTTCCTGAGTTATTTATATCACAACCAACATCTTTTAACCAATTAATACTGTGATCTTGTAGGCAAAACCACAAACAAGGACTACTGCCTATTAAGCAAGAATAGGCTTCAGGGTAGCCTTAACTTGCTGCCATATAATCTTGGGCTCCTAATCTCAGACAGCACGGATTTTAATTTGCTGGCTGGAAAAATATTTGCAGAGCACCAAATTGTGAAAGGCTTCTGAGAGAGGCATATGAATTTATTTCTAATGAACATTCACCTTACTAATTTAACAATAATTTTCAGTGTCACTCAGTATTGCTGTCTTTGTGGCATTTCACAATCTGATTTATCACTGCAATTAGTTGTGTTACAGTAAAGAAACATGGTCTACAGGAACTTCATAATGAATGGTGGTAGGCATGATGAATTTCTTTTTCCTGTTCAGAAAAAATACACTGGGCAGCAGGACACCAATTCTGTTATTTAAAAATTTCATCTGGATTCACTGTCTTCGCGTTGTTTCTAGGAACACTTGTGCAGGGTGTCTGCATTATAGAAATAATAGGTTGAACCAGTCACAGGAATCAGTTGAGGTTCTTATTTAGCTACTTAGAAATTACAATAACGGACTTAATTTTGGAGTGTATTCAACTTAGAAAAATTGAAAAAAGATTTTTAAAAAATCTGAACGGTGATGACATCCATGATCTTCCATTGGAAATCATGAAAAGCCAGAACTTGACAATTCTAGACAGAATATACACTTCTCAACACATGAAGCCTAACAAAATTTCAGGTAAATAATTGTAACAATAAAGGAGAATATCTGTAGCTCAGGGTTGAAATGAGGGGGGGGGGGGGCACTCTCTGAGCTTGGTTGTTTTCTTGCAGACGTTTCACTAGCCAGACTAGGTAACATTATCAGTGCAATCAGGGCAACCAAGTTCAGAGAGCACCAAAGACCCCCCATCAAATAACTGTAAGGAGATGCATGTTGGTATGGGTGCGAGTCTTAAAGTACTTTAAACATTGTTTCTGTATTCCAAACGGACAAGCTATGTAAACACTTTTAAAATGTAAAATTCCCTTCTCTGGAGTTTAAGCAATACAGGTGAAACTCGAAAAATTAGAATATCATGCAAAAGTTCATTTATTTCAGTAATGCAATTTAAAAGGTGAAACTAATATATGAGATACTCATTACATGCAAAACGAGATAGTTCAAGCCTTGATTTGTCATACTTACAGCTTTTCATGGCTTACAGCTCATGAAAACCCCAAATTCACAATCTCAGAAAATTAGAATATTGTGAAAAGGTTCAATATTCTAGGCTCAAAGTGTCTCACTCTAATCAGCTAAGTAAGCCATAACACCTGCAAAGGGTTCCTGAGCCTTTAAATGGTCTCTCAGTCTGGTTCAGTAGGAATCACAATCATGGGAAAGACTGCTGACCTGACAGTTGGGCAGAAAACCATCATTGACACCCTCCATAAGGAGGGAAAGCCTCAAAAGGTCATTGCAAAAGAAGTTGGATGTTCCCAAAGTGCTGTATCGAAGCACATTAATAGAAAGTTACTGTATGTGGAAGGGAAAAGTGTGGAAGAAAAAGGTGCACAAGCAGCAGGGATGACCACAGCCTGGAAGGGATTGTCAGGAAAAGGCCATTCAAAAGTGTTGGGGACTTTCACAAGGAGTGGACTGAGGCTGGAGTCAGTGCATCAAGAGCCACCACACACAGACGGATCCTGGACATGGGCTTCAAATGTTGTATTCCTCTTGTCAAGCTGCTCCTGAACAACAAACAACGTCAGAAGCATCTTACCTGGGCTAGAGGAAAAAAGAACTGGTCTGTTGTTCAGTGATCCAAAGTCCTCTTTTCTGATGAGAGCAACTTTTGCATCCCATTTGGAAACCAAGGACCCAGAGTCTGGAGGAAGAATGGAGAAGCACACACTGCAAGATGCTTGAAGTACAGGGTGAAGTTTCCACAGTCTGTGTTGATTTGGGGAGCCATGTCATCAGCTGGTGTTGGTCCACTGTGCTTCATTAAGTCCAGGGTCAACGCAGCCGTCTACCAGGAGATTTTGGAGCACTTCATGTTTCCTTCCGCAGACGAGCTTTATGGGGATGCTGACTTTTCCAGCAGGACTTGGCACCTGCCCACACTGCCAAAAGTACCAAAACCTGTTTCAATGACCATGGGATTACTGTGCTTGATTGGCCAGCAAATTTGCCTGACCTGAACCCCATAGAGAATCTATGGGGCATTGCCAAGAGAAAGATGAGAGACATGAGACCAAACAATGCAGAAGAGCTGAAGGCTGCTACTGAAGCATCCTGGTCTTCCATAACACCTCAGCAGTGCCACAAGCTGATAGCATCCATGCCACGCCGCATTGAGGCAGTAATTGATGCAAAAGGGGCCCAAACCAAGTACTGAGTACATTTGCATGCTTATACTTTTCAGATGTCCGATATTGTTCTATGTACAATCCTTGTTTTATTGATTTCATGTAATATTCTAATTTTCTGAGATTGTAAATTTGGGGTTTTCATGAGCTGTAAGTCATAATCATCAAAAGTATGATAAATCAAGGCTTGAACTATCTCACTTTGCATGTAATGAGTCTATCTCATATATTAGTTTCACTTTTTAAGTTGCATTACTGAAATAAATGATATTCTAATTTTTCGAGTTTCACCTATATATGGCCCTCATGATGATGAACTCCTATAAATCTCCAAATAACTTGCGGATCTAGTGATAAAGCAAGAAGTGATTAAAAGAAAACATTTGTGAACACCTCTCTGTTGGTCATTTTTACCAGAACAACAGATATTGCTCCTTGATAAACTGCCAAATAAAGAATACCTTTGTGATAAACTGCATCAGAAATAATTTTGGGAAGAGAATGACAAAATTGTTTCAGTCTCCTTCCACCCAACCCTGGGTGATGAATAACAAAAGATCTAGTTTTATGTCCTTCAATTTAAATCATAATAATGGATCTTCTTCATTCACAAAATAGGAATTAGGTATTTTCAGAAAATGTACATATTATTTTTAATTTTCATATTTCTCCTCATATTTTCCCTACAATCACAAATATCTAATGTTATTTCACTTGTATCAACATTTTTCCTTTATATAAAAGAAAAAATAGGTGCAACCTATTGTAATAAATGGCAAGTAATTGAATAGGTGATATTTTGGCATTCTCTAATCATGTGCCTTCCAGGTGTGTTAGAACTACTACTTTCAATGCTGGTTTGACATTCCAACGTATCTAATTGGGAAAGATTTCAGTGAGTTTTGCAGGACAATAGTTTTGGGTCCTCTGCTTGTAACATATTTGGCTTAAATTCAATCCACTGTGCAATTCTCCATGCTCAGATTAGATGTGGACTTTTTTTCGAACAGCAGCAACTGAGGCAAATGACAATTCTCTCTGGTAGAAGATGAAAGCTTTTAGATACAGAAGAGGGGGCAAAACAAAAACATCCAGAAATTTGTTCTGAGTTCACTTTAAGTACCTTTGTTGATTCTACAAATGGTACCAAATATGACTTTGGTACTGCAGACTTTACATCCATTTCCATCATGAGCCAAAAACATCATTCTTAAACTTGGAGTCTCTGATGGTTCTGAACACTGAAACTTATTTATTCAGCTACAACTGTACCTTTATCTATGAAAAACAAAGCAAATCGAAACATCCTTATGTTGAAACAAAGAAGAAATGACTAGAAAGCAATCTAGATTTAGACCACTCAAATATGCTGAACAATGATAAGTGGCATAGTAGCTGTAAATTAAGACATTCTCATTTCTTAATTCACCATACAATTACCACCTAATACAATCACTAACCAAATAACATTATGTCAGGGCCATGTTTTCATGAACAAGCCACTTAACATTAAACTTTTGGCATGGCGGTGATGAAAAAAAGTAGTATTTGCAAACACAACTGTCAATTTTAATCAGAGAGAAATATTCAATAAAAACAAGGTTGCACTGAAAAGGAATGAAAGGGAGGGTTTAAAGTGTTTATTTTATAAAATAAATACTGTCAAATATATTAACCGTAGTCATCTGACCATCAAAATCTTGTTTCTGAAGTGCCACGCTTTAAATTGTTACTCAAAAATTCATCATGCTCAAAACTCAAATTATTGTGAGATCTGGAAATCATCAACAGTTTTTCTTTATTAGTAAAGTCCTTCTTCGCTGTAGCTGGTGGTACGAGAAGCCTGTCCATAGGATCTTCCTTATTTTCTAGCTTCATATAACCTTTGCTGTTACTCCGGTCCAGTCGTGGCCAGCTTGGATGTTTTCTTTGTTCAGCTTGGACAGTGAGAGTAGAAGGACCCCTATCCAAGTCTAGGGACTTTGAATGTGAAGACAAGAGATGCAAAGAGGTGTTGGACCCAAACTGTTTTCTGGCTGCACCAGGTGATAAGAGCTGTCCAGTGCTGGCTCCGAGAGTCATTGAAGACTTGAACTGACTGAAGGAAGAGTCTCCATATAAATTGTTGCGTGGTAACAAAGCATTGGCAGATTTGTAGCTATCGCTGGTATTCATTAATGGGAGAGCTAAAGAATCCATGGACAAATTTCTAGGTCTGTCTCTACTCCTTGATGAATCCTCAGTGATGCTGTCAATACTTGGCTCATCAATAACACAGTTATTCAGTTTGATTACAGGTAATGTGAAAGCATTAATGGAAGATGACACAATTGATTTTGTTTCACACTTCAGAGAGCCACTGCTTCTTTCATCCCTGGCTTTCCCAGAGTGAGGGTAAAGGCCAAAGACTGAACCAGAGTGTTCCATCAGCAAAGGTGACATAAGATTTGGGATTGATTTCTTGGTCTCATTTCCAGCAAATTCATCTTCTTCATCATTGCTAACCATGTGGAAGTTGCTTGCAAAGCTTGAGAAAGGAGCAATTGTATTTGCAGCCAGCCGTGATGCACAAGAGCTTCCACCATGCTTGATTTCATTCTCTCCTGCTAAGCCGGTAAAGGCACCGTTCAGCTGCCTTTGCTCACTGATTCTCAGAGCATGGATGTCAATTACAGTGGAATAGATGTCCCTCATGTGTATAATTTTTGTCTCCTTGTCCCGGTTTTCATGGAGCATGGCATTTGCACAAATAAAAATAAATATTCCAATCCCCATAGTGAAAGGCCCCAGCATTTTCATTTTATCGGAATGTAAATGCCGCTCAACGAAGCGCATAATAAATCCATCTCCTTTTCCTATTAACCGAGTCTCATTTAGTGACAAGCTGTCTTCAGGCTCTAGGAATGAGTCTTTTGGGGGCCAGTAACCAAGAATAGCCATAGCAATTCCCAGGAAGGAAATCAGCACTCCCAGGACAAGGAAGAACCCTGATGGGGAATATAGCCGGATTTTGCCTCGGACTACAACCACATCTGTCCTTGGCCGACGCTTGACTGGCTTCTGTTCCTCAGGAGCTGGTGATGTTGCGCGATTCAGATGGTGTTGGGACCTGGAAGAATCTTGCCTTTTTAAGGCAGCCAGTCCTGTTATGACTCCCCCGGTAGCTATCATGATTTTCTATTTTGATCTGAAATTGAAAGCAAAAACAAAAGACTTCAAAAAAGTTACCACAGGCACTAAATATGAAGCATTCAGTACTTCTAACCCTTCAAAACTGTGTAACTCTAACCTGTAATTTAGTACACTCAGAACTCTTCATAATACAAAGGTTGAGTGTTTCACATAATATATGCTGAATATATATTACGAAACTGCCTTATGTAATTATAAAAAAATATTTTAGTTGTAAATCAATACAGGTAGTTCTCAATTTACCACCACAATTGAGCTCAAAATTTATGTTGCCAAGTGAGAAATTTGTTAAGTGAATTTTGCCCCATTTTACTACTTTTCTTGCCATATTTGTTAAGTGACTAACTGCAATTGTTGCATGGTTGTTAAATGAATCTGGTTTTCCCATTGACTTTGCTGGTCAAAAGGTCACAAAAAGGGATCATATGACTCTGGGACACCGCAACCATCATAAATGTGAGTCAGTTGTCAAGCATCCGAATGTAAATCATCATGTGACCATGGGGATGCTACACTGGGCATAAGTGTGAAAAATAGTCAATAGGTAACTTTTTTCAGACCCATTATAACTTTGAATCATCGCTAAATGTTGCAAGTCGAGGACTACCTGTACATAGACTTCCAGCAGAACAAAGAAGCAACAAGAATGTACTTAATAAATGAAATGCCATGTCAGTAGTAAAATATCTTATCTAGCAAAATCAGTAACAAAGAAGAATATGGACTTTAGATGCCAGTCCAGAAAAGAGTTGTAATACTATTTCTTGGTTATTTTGTAAGATCCAAGTTATTAAAATACTCAAGACATTAACTGTAGGATCATATAGTGCAGGCATTGCTTCATACAAGTTCCTGATTTACCTAACAGATGGATGAAACTGTGACTTCACCAATGCCTGAGATGGAAAAAGTGGCATCTAGATTCAAGATTGCCTTTGAGACATCAGAATAAATTTATTTTAGAACAAAATCATTTTTTTTACCTTTCAATTTGTATTTTACAATAGCATTTTCATGGTAGATTTCATGAATCTAGGCATTGTGCTATTTAAAGTTAGGAAATAGGTTTTTATGAGCATTGGAAAATCACTAGGAAGTCTCTATTTCATTCGAGATGAGACTACATAGGTATAGCAGTAGTACAAAATCAGTTGATGTTCTTTTCTCTTCAGGGATTATTTGCACAAGTAATTTAAGCCTATCCTTCTCACCCAGCAAGGAACAGAAACTTATTAAGAATTGACTTAGGACTGCCAAGCCATTCCAGTAAACAGTGGCTAATTAATCCAATTAAGAAGCAGAACCAAGAAGCAGAAGCTGCTTTAAAGAAAAAAGCAACACAATATCTCTAACTAAAGAGCTACTTGGAAAAAGTGGCATCTACATTGGAAGAAAAAGCATAATAGCATTTCAGAAATTCATGTCGGATAACTTGATATTGCATGAGGTTTAAGACCGATACAAATCAAGACTGAAGGAAGCAAAAACAACACTCCAGAATATGAAGCTATCTGGGTTCTTTGTAAAAATTTTCACCGTGATGAAAGGAGTAGGGGGAAACTAACCATTTTAAATTACACAACAGTCCAAGCCCAAACTTTATCCTTTTAAAAAGCAAAGAAGATTTAGCCACTGAAGCTATAAGCATGTCAGATGGCATGGGGCTGATATAATAGACTGAAATGAAAGCACGCTTCAATGATTTATACTGAAGTGAGTGAAAAATGAAAATAGGAACTACCCAATTTGCAAGGGAATGTAAAAATAGAAAAAGACAGTGAGCAGTTGGCATGTTTGGGAAAAGATTTCTATGCTGAAACAACTTTTCCAAAACTTGAAACTCTTATCTCTTTGCATAGACATTTATTATATGAAGTACAAAGAGCAGATGAGCTGTGAATTCATAAGATGGGCTGGGTTCTATGAAGTAAATAGCAGGTTGCGGCTCAAAGGACTTTAAAGAAAACACTAATGCTGCCTGGAGCAAGCACTGCAGATGCTTAGCAACAAGAGAACACCAACACAGAGCCTACAGGCCTCTTGGTAGGCCTGGTGGTACAGCAGGTTGCCATGACAGCAGTAGCACAAGAAGAAGAGGTAGGTATACTACTGTTGGCCAGCCTCACAGCAGGGGCACAGAATCAGAACTTGGCATATCTGCTACAGATTTACTGAGACTAAAAACAGAGCTAAGAGTGACACAAATAATCCTAGCACTGCATGGATTCAGGCCAATTCACACTTTAAGTGTGTCACTATACATCAGGACTGATTACAATCCACACACATATATATGTAAGGATGGTGATAAATGATTTGAACCTTTGAAAAGGCAAAGACTTTCCTGACAGGCCACACATTTTACACAGAGAAGACTTGGCAGCTCCAGATGACGGTGGAAAATCCTGTCTCAAACCTGAGGGAGATGCCACCAGCCAGTGTTTATAACACTGGGTTAGATAGATCAGTAATCTGACACACTGTCCCTAATTTCTGAAGACATTTGATGGGTCCTTTCTTTGGTCAAGTCATTCCCACATCTAGTCTGCAGAACCCTCGATGGCCAATAGATGGGAGCAAAGAGTTAAGACTTTTCTATGTCTTTGCTGCCATTTCATGGTCATCTGGGATTACTTCACCCAAGATATGGCCTTGTCACGCCAAAACATAAACCCAAAAACCTAAATGTGCATCTCTGACTGAATTCTCCTATGACAAAATTTCATGCTAATCCAGTATTGAATTACTGGATGAAAGATGTCTAATTGAGTCATTCAAAGTAGATTCTTAATTTGCTCTGTCTACAACCAGCCACAATGAATAAGACCATGTGTACATACCAAACACACAGGAAGCATTGATACAGGTTAAATTTGTGTGGTATCAGCTCAGTGATTACAATACAGGGAAAATCTAAATGCAAGCTATAAGTAAGTCTTGATCCCAATGTATCCAGACCAAGGGCTGCAAGGGAGGCTAAATCCTATATATATGTTTAGTCTAAAAAAGACAAGGCTAAAGGGAGATGTGATATCAGTTTTTTAATACATGACGAGATGTCACAGGGGAAATAGTATGGATTTGTTTTACAAAGCAACTGATAGATGGAAGCTCTACAATAAGAGGTTCAAAACTTGAAATAAGAAAGAATTTCCTGTCTGTGAAAGCTGCTAAGTAATGGAACAACTTGCCTCCTAAAGTTATAGATGCTCCATTAGTTAATGTTTTCAAGGAAAGATTGGATAGCCATTTGTCCAGGATGATATGAGCATCCTGCATTGGGCAATGTAGTCAATGAAATGCAACAGAAAAAAGAAGAAAGAACGTTATGATGCCATGACCTACTGTTCTTTGTATTACGTAGTGACACCAAGGAAGGAAAGAAGGAAGAAAGGAAAGAGATGGTGAAATTATGGTTTTTAATTGGAGGACAGTAATTTGAGGAAAGCTATTACAATGATAGTCTTATTTCACATCTATGCTAATACTGGAGGGATCATACTTGGTTCATTGGAGACCAATTTTTATGGGGCAGCCTTGACCCGCAGCATGAGGGCATCCCATCTCTTTTCAGTCCAATGAGATCACATTATTTCAACTCCAATTTATCTATGCCCAATATAGAAATTCTTATTCCCATAGCTGAATAAGATGAAAAGGAAATGATTGCCAAAATTCATTAGCAGAAAGGTGTTCCTGAAAAGAAACAACTTTCTCCTCCCCTTCCCTCTTTCTTGTATCTAACTGAAAAAGATGAATCTCAGGATAAACAAATCTCAAGAAAACCATTTTCTCTGTGGGAAAACACATTTGAATTGAAAAACTGTGTAATATTATTTTACCCTCTCTTTTCTCTGCATGTTAAACTATCACACAGGGTCAGGAGAAGTTGTGGCTCTATATTTCCCTTGGGCCCAGCCAGCACAGTCAATTGCCCAGAATTATTCTAATATATTCTATATCCCATGTATATAAACATTAGCAATTTCTCCTCATTTTCTTTTATTTTGATAATTTTAATTTTAGAGTGAAAGAGGGAGACCATGAGTTGTATTCATTCTTTGAGCACAAACTACCTTGTGTGAATTGGGGCGAATCACACTTTCAGTCCTAGGAAGAAGGCAGTGTCAAATCACTTTTGAACATCTTGCCAAGAAAATTGAAGGGACTAGTCCAGGCAGTTATCTAGAGTCAATGCTGACTTGAAAGTACTCACAAAGAGCAAAAACTATAATATTCCATCAAAAATACTTTAAGAGCAGGTTAGGAAAGTAAGAAATGTCTGACTATGTGCATGCTCAGCACAAGCATTGTTATAATAAGGAATCTTAATATGAATGCCTGCCCTGAAAAAATAATCCTTCCTTGCTAGCTAAAGTATTGGATAACTAAAAGACTTGGGCACCTGTAATTGGTTGACAGATGATACATCAGATGAGCAAACTTGAGCTGAACATTCTGCTAAGAAGCCCTTCCCTGGCTGCCACTGATGATAGCCAACTGCTGGTGACATTCTATTGTTAGGGCTGATTGAAAATATATTGAAGGAGACCAAACTATATAAGCTTGACCCATGACACCTTCTCTTTTTCAACTGAGGCATGTACAATATTACCATTTTTAAATCATACAAGCCATTGTTGTTCATTTTCTACTTCCTAACTCCTGCCACCCTCATTCTTGATGTACTTACCCCCACACAGGAACTATTAAAAGACTGTCCTTTCAAACATCATTTCTCTTCAGAACCATCTGTGGTGGCAACTGCATCTTGTTGCCTGTAGACAGTTGCTCATCTCTATCCAGCAGTTATCTGTAAATGGAACACAAATACATATATAAAAAGGACAACCATTTGTAAGAAGCACAAGCTCTACTGTGGATTGCCCTAAGCTCCTTAAATCATGACACTTCTTTCTATTTTGAGATAAATCTCTCCCCCCCCTCCTGATTTCTACATCCCAATCTAGTACATATGCTTTTACTGCAATAAAAATCACAACAATAAATTAAAAAGGGAAGTGGGGGTAGGAAATAGTACTCAAAGGCTGAGAACACTTTTTCATCCATCATGCCTTTATAAACTAGTTAGATTAATCAGAACACCACATTTATCTTCCTTAAATAAGATTAGCAGAAGAATATTCCTTAAGACCCACCTGCCTTTTAATTTTCTAAGAGTATAATTACTTTTTTCTTATTCTAAAAAGCATTTCAAGTTTCAAGAGGTACAGTATTCACAGCAAATCAGCTGAGGAGAAGCAAAGAGGCAAAGAGAATAACACAATACAGTAGCTTAAAGGCAATTATAATTGCTCTTTTCCCAAGCAGGAACGCCAGTGCCAAAAGATATGCACAGTGTACAATACCAAGCTTTTTAGGAATATGGATGTGAATATTATTACAGCAGTTTAACAAAATTAAAGGTCAAATGTACTTCTAAGCATAAATTCCCTATTTGGGTGCTCTTTAACACTTCCCATCTCAAGATTCCCCCCTCCCCCTTTTCTTTCTTCTACATAACAGATTTGCTAAGACTGATGTACAATTGAAATCAGAGTCTTTCCTTTTGGGACTGATGAATAAACAGCTGAGGAAAAAAAATCATGGAACTTTGTTTTATATATATGATAACTGCAGTGAGATTATTAAATGCTCAAAAGTGGAAAGGTCCAGTACTGCCCAAAATGGAGGAATGGCTGATGAAGATGATGGGACACGCAGAGATGACTAAATTGACTTCTTTGATTAAAGAAAAGACAACTTCTTCATTTGCTGCTGACCGGAAACGCCTTAAGGACTTTTGTATGAAAGAGGGGGGGAAATGAGCTTTTGGTTTGTAGTTTGATGATTAGAAGACATAAATAATAGAAAAAGGAAGAGGTTTTTTTTGTAACCACAGAGTAAGAAATAATTTTGTAATCATACTTATAGTACATTTGCTACAAAGGAAATCAGAAAGCTTTTCTGTTTCTTTTTATCTTGTCTTTTTTGCCCTTTTTCTTTTCTCCCTTTCCCTTTAATTTCTTTACTTCGCATTAGTTTTTGTTAGTTTTTAACCTTCTTTTAAATTTTTTTAATAAAATGTGTAAAAATAAACAACACATTTGCAAAGACAAATAAATCCTTTGCCTTTGTTAGATAGGCATACCTTTAGAGCAATACAAATACTTTTAGGTGGTAGGTTGAAGTCAGATCTAGCCCAAGGAAACTATGTGTTATATATGGTTATCAAAATCAAATGATGCTGTGTACCTCAGCAATCATTAACTATTATTTTTCTAATTCTACTATTATTCACTAAATCCCATTGAATGATTAGTCTGCATAATTAAAACTCATCATTTACATTGTTCAGGGCTTCCCCTCTCTTTTATTGTCTTCTTTCAACCTCAATTGTTAATCCCATGATAGTCTATCATCTACTGTATAATAAACTTGTCATCACCGGCTCAACATTTGTATGGAGGAGACATATCTAATGCTAATACCCTAATGCATGTATCATGTTTGCTAGATAGAGACAGAAATTTCAGCCTTCCCAATGTAATATCTTACAGATGCTTTGGACAATAGCTACTTTCATTCTGAATGCGAGGACTGCCAAATTATGGATTTATAATATAACACACTTGTAAATTGGAAAAAAAATTGTGTACGTTTCCAACTATTAGGAAATACAGATGTTCAGGGAGGCAAAAAGGTAAAATGGAAAAATGTAGAAAGAGTGCCATAATTACATATAAAATTACATATATTCCTTTTTCTAAGGATTGAACATGTCACACACGATTCCTATTTTTGTTTTTATTATTCTCAGATTAATTTTAACATGTGGTTTATGTTGAAAGCTGATGATTCTTTAAGGTTAGAGTATGGGTGAATTGAGATTTGAGTGGATACTCAAGATTGCAAATATACCAGTACTTGTTCCTTTTAAATTAAACAAATAATCCATGAATTTAAATAGTAAAAGCACATTGGTCAAACTGTGCATTATTACATTCTATTGTTCATTATCTATCATGAAATGAAAAGTTTATTTAATCCAACTTTCTGTTGCCACATAAGTGACCAGTGGATGCAGGGCCGGATTTTCCTATAGGCTAACTAGGCTTCAGCCTAGGGCCTCAAGATCCAGAGGGGCCTACACAGTGTGGGATTCTGGGGGTTCTAGGTGGCTCGGCCGAACCCTTTGTTAAATTGCTGGCTCCCCCGCCCCTCCGCACCACTATTTATTGCCAATAAATAGTGGTGGGCGAGGGGCGGGGGAGCCAGCAATTTAACAAAGGGTTCGGTGTTTTTTTTTGTAATTTTATTGGCCCCCGGAGCTTCAGCAGAGGCTAATTGGCTTCCCGGCTCTCAGCTGATTTGTCTCCGCTGTTTTGCTCAGGGCTCTTCTGCTTCCGTGCAAAGAAACGAAACTGAAACTGCTTTGCTGTTGCTGCAAGGTTGGAAAATTAGGCAGGCAGAATTCTTTTCTTTTTCCTCACCAAAAAAGGTAGGTGCAAACAATGGGAATTTTAGGGAAAAAGAGAAGAGTTCAGGATTTTAAAACACAAAAGAAAAAAAAGCTGTATTTAACTAGGGAATTGTAATAATTGAGATACTATTAATTGTATATTTCTGAAAGCAGAAATGGTTAAGTTGTGGTTTGGAGGAATATATGGGGGAAATTATTTGGTTTATTATTATTGGTAAATATAATTAATGGATTTGTAAGAAATTGGATTGCATGGAAATAATTGGAATATTCATGTTCATATTGATTAATATACAAAAAAGGTAGTTATATAACTAATTGATTTATATTAAAATGTTGAATTTATATTAAACAACTAATATTACATAATTAACCAATGTGAGGATGGATATAAAAATAGATGACAATGGGAAGGGGTATAATATAGAATAGAAGGGAAAAATTGAATTTGATTAAGATTAGAGATGAGGATGAGGGTAATATTGGTTTTTTACAAAAATAGATGAGGAATAAATATGGCAAAAAGGAAATATAGAAATTGTAAATTTAATTGAAATGACTAAACACTGTTTAAATTTGTGAACCGGCCAAATACTCTGTTCAAAGAAAATACATTGTATGTTTGTATGTGTGTTTCTAATTATTGTTATTTATTCATATTTGTTCTCTTTTATTCTTTAAAGTTTAACAATTCATTCTTTATCTTAATATCTTTATATTTGTTTGGGGTTGGCTTTCTTCCCTTTCATCTTTTTTATTGTATAGCAATCTTTCTCCTCAAACCTACCACCTCTCTTTTCTTTCCTTCTTACTTTCTCTTCCTCCCCCTCTTCTTCTCCTCCCTACTTCCTCTTCCTTTCTCCTTCTCCTCCTCTCTTCCTCCCTCTCTCTCCTACTCTAATTTCCCTTCCCTTCCTTCATCCCTCTCTATTGCTGTATCCTTTTATGCATATGGACTACTCAGAGGGCTGAAAAAGTTATTTCTGACTGGTCCTTGCACTTTTGACCAGTCCTCGAACTTACGACTGTCCTCACATTTTACGTTTTTGCCCTATCTTGTCACCATGGTGAAGAAAAGCAGTTGTGAAATGAGTGACATGGTTGTTAAGAAAGCTGCATGGGCATAAATGTGAGGATGGTCATAAGTGTGAGGACCGGTCAAAAGTGCGAGGCCCAGTCAGAAATGACTTTTTTCAGCCCTCTGGGTAGTCCTTTTGTGCATATGGACTACTCAGAGAGCTGAAAAAGTTATTTCTGACTGGTCCTCGCACTTTTGACCAGTCCTCGAACTTATGACTGTCCTCACATTTTACGTTTTTGCCCTATCTTGTCACCATGGTGAAGAGAAGCAGTTGTGAAATGAGTGACATGGTTGTTAAGAAAGCTGCACGGGCATAAATGTGAGGATGGTCATAAGTGTGAGGACCGGTCAAAAGTGCGAGGCCCAGTCAGAAATGACTTTTTTCAGCCCTCTGAAAAAAGTCTATGCACATAGCCACGCCCACCCGGTCACATGATGAGCTACCCACGCCTACACAGTCACGTGACCAGCTAGCCACGCCCACCCAGTCACATGATTGCCAAGCCACACCCCCAACTAAGCCACGCCCACATAACCTGTTGTTAAAAAATTGAATCCCACCACTGGTGAAAGGGCCTCATAAGTGGAATAGCCTAGGGCCTCTTTCAATCTAAATCCGGCCCTGAGTGGATGCTAGTAGAAATACACACTTCTACTAGTATTTCTATGCAAGCAGTGCTAAAGGACATTATCTAATGCCATCAAGACAACTAAATGATAGCCTTTTCCTCTGTGTTTATCTTAATCCCTATCAGTTTCAGCAAAATCTACACTCTGAGTGATATGCTGTGTGAAAGTCTTCTTTTTCTTTGTCTCTAATCATTTTTCCAATCAACTTAATTAGAAGATGGCTATGGGAATCAAGGGCATCACTGTGATTCCCCAATTACAGGTAGTCCTCAACTTACAACCATAATTGAGACTAAAATTTATGTTGCTAAGCAAGACAGTTAAGTCAATTTTGTCCCATTTTATGACTTTTCATGACACAGTTATTTAGCAAATCCCTGCAATTCTTAAATTAGTAACTCGGTTGTTAAGTGAATCTGGCTTCCCCACTGATTTTGCTTTGTTGGAAGGTTGCAAAAGGGGATCACATGACCCCGAGACACCTCAACGGTAATAAATACATGCCAGTTGCCAAGCATCCCAATTTTGATAACGTGACCATAGGGATACTGCAAAGGTTAAGTGTGAAAAATGGTGATAAGTCATTTTTTTCAGTGCCGTTGTAACTTTCAATGGTTGC